CAGGAATTCAGAACCCGGAATGGAAACTTTGAACCTGCCATCAGTTCATTTGGGACTGGAGATGTGGGTGCACACAGGGAATGTAAATTTATCTGTGCCTTATGTAAAGGATTTGAAATGTGTAATGAGGAAGTCCATAAAAAAATCCATGAAAAATCCACAAGAAGCTGAATCTTGGCAGATCCTGGAAGAGGACAAAAAGGTGGGGGGAGGGGTCCAGGAAGATAAAAGAGATTAAATGAATCTTGTGGGTCCACCTCACTTGCAACTAGGCACAAAGGGCTTGCTAATTGCCTGCTTGCTGCTTCTGTCTCTGGAATGCAGCATCATCTTAGCCTCTTTGAGTGGGAGGAAAAGCTGAGTCCCTGAAGGTGTGCCTGTACCTCTGTAATCTGAGAAAGCCAGATACAACCAAGGGGCTTTGAGACTTTTCCTTAGTAGCCTCTTTGAGTTTGCAGAATGCTAATGTTTATTAGAACAATAATCCCCAAAGGGGATAGATGATGTTGTGTGGAGGCAGGACCCACCTCCCAAGCCCCAGGGTTCACATGAAGGGCACTCCTCCTGACATCTCTGACATATGAAATGAGGAAAGCTTTGCATTTCTCTATTAGAGGCAGAAACCTCTGTTCCAATGTATTAGTGCAACTGTCAGAATCAGCCAGGTGAAACAACTGTGTGCTGCTTCTGCTCTGCTACTGATGGTCTGGTGACCATCAGCTTCCTATCTGTGCTGGGGTTTACCTCTTGCTACTTTTATTGGGCAACTACAGTAGGAAAACTCTCATCTTGTAATGTGTGTTTTAAGCTAGTGGGATTTCAGGTACTTAAGGCCTGTTTTCTGGAAAGAAAGCACTGGTATGGAATGGGAGCAGGTCCAGCTACAGAGCTGGCCTTGAGTACTGTAGCTCAGACATAGCATTGGTCTTTCCTTCCCTGACTGGTAGTGTAACATTGGCTGCTAGCACAGTCCCCTACCGAGCTCTCACAGTCGCCTGGCCTAATGAGCCTAGGGCTTCAACAGTGGAAAACTCAGTAAATGCCAGTGCAGATAGAGCCCCAGTGGCTAAGGCTACCTGAACAGAAGCTGTTTCTTTTAACACAGTTTTTACAAGATAAGTGATATTGTTACCGAAAACTTGGAGTAAAGAACTTATCGACACCAATGTGATGTAGATAAGCAGACACTTCTTTATTGACGCGGGGGTATACTCGCACCAACAACGCACACCAAGCCCCAAAATCATACATCTTATATAGAACTTATTCATGCATATCCATTAAGTATTCATACATAAACATACCATTTCCCAGAAATCATTTACATACTCTCCTCCTAGTTCCGATTATGCGCAATAAAAGCTGGAAATGTCTAGAAATGGGTCTGGGGTGCAATAGGAGTAGGTGGTCCAAGAGTCGGTGGTCGCGATCTCCCCCTGCCGGAATTACCTTTCGCTTAAGGACGCGGTTCCCTGGCAGGTACTTGCCAGCTATTACGGTTGGCTTCCCTCAGTTTCATTAATTCCAGACCCTGACAGCTACATGCATTCTTCTAATACTATAAATCAGTTTGTGAATCAACTGGTGCCTATTGGTGCTCGTTACCTAAGTCACCTAAGTTCTAGATGATTGATTTTGACAAATCCCTTCTGCCTTGGTACAGCCTGTACAGAAGATTTCATTGCAGCAGTCCATTACTGGTTAAATGTGCAGCAGATATAAACATATAATTCCTACTAAAATATCTCCTAACTCTCTATATATTTATATTAAAATCAAACACAACTACTTCTTATTAATAATAATAAAATGGCAATTCAGTAACAATATGGGGTTGTAAACCTTTTCCTCATGTTAACTTTGCTATGAATTTGGCCTAACAATCAGTGGAAAACTTTTTTCTAGCTTTAATTTGTGTAGTTATCAGGAGGTTTGCCCAAAGGTAAAAATGGGATTCCCTGGGACCAAAAAATACTCAGGTGGTACTCATTCAAGAGACCTAGTTTTTGATAGAATCTAGTAGATAAGAGTGTGTTACCTTCTTTCAGAAGAAAAATGCCTTCATTTTTGCTCATGCAAATTGTAACTTCATATGGTTCTTTTTTGTGTTATTAAGCAATTTTTCCCATATTGTGCAAGGCCTTTATCATCAATTATTTTGTGGAGGATTTCATGGTTTACATGATTCTGTTATAAACAACTGTGGAAAATTATTCCTGGTAATTCCATATAGGTGAGTTAATTAGCAAAGCACATCACTTTCAAATAAATCGAAGGTTATTTTTTGTTTCCTCTTTGTTTTCTGTGAATGCAGGTTTAGGCACTTATATTTCAGTCTCTCCTTGTCTAGTGAAAATATTTTCTTGAGCATAGAGAAAGTCACTGTTCCACAGTCCTGCCCACCAGATTTTCCCCTTTGGTTTGAGAGTGATTAAGTATGATCCACTAAGATTTTATACTGAAAAAGAGATATGAAGGAAATAATGGTTTTTAAAGACAAACCATTGTCCTGGCATCAGTGGAGGAAAACCTCAAATTCAATGTTTATGGAGTAATATTTTGTCTTACAGGTGATCACAGGAAGGAGTACATTTGGAAATATGTAGTCTCAAAAGATTGGAGGGCATGGGACAGCTGCTTGCAGGGGATTCAACTTATATATACACAGAAGTATTATAATGCAACGTCCTTATACTCCTGCACTCAACCTGTATTCGAGTAATCTTTAAGTTGACTTACAATACTCCTAGGGCCACCCCCATCCCCTTCAATTTTTGTAATTTCCTTCTCCGAGCAGCATTAAATTTGTGAGTACTATGCTCTTGGTCCTTTGGTTTGTGTTCTGGTACCTGAGCTTTTCTTGACTTGGAAATACCGTTAGGAACAAGAAGATTTTATTAGATTTAGTGTTACATGTTTTCTGTCTGAGAAACTGTTTTAATTTAGGTGGCAAATTAGGAATCCCACCTACTTTATCAATGACCCCGTATTTTCCATATGCTGTTTGGATTATCTTGTGTAACTGCACAGGACTTCCTCTCTGTGATTCTGGGAGAAGCAAAGTGCAAACCCACCTCACCTGGGTGCATGGTGCTTATGCTTGAAAGCAGTGTCTTCCTCTTGAACAGTGTGTACAGAAAGCATACATATAAAGGAAACTAATCTGTAACTTAGTTGATCACATGACCTGCTTTCCTTCTTTTGCTTTGGATCATGTTATATATTTCGTCTAGCTTTTTTCCCTCCATAATTTTTTTAACCGAGTTAAAATGACTCCATGTTCTGCATCCCAACACGTACTTAAAAAGTATAACCATGTGTATGCATGAGGCAGATTCATGCAATTTGCCCCTGGATTTCTGAGCACCAAGTGAGTACAGATTTCTCCAAGGGTGCTCAGCTGGGAGTGTTTGCCACTGCTGTTGTTGTCAGCCCGTATAGAAAGTCCACTGCAGTTTTGATATCTGGTATCACGCAGTGACATGGGCCAACCAGCAGCCCTGCCTTAAGTCCTTGCAGGGGGAAGAAGCTAAGCTAGCTTCCAACATTGAGGATAGAGATAGTGAAAACATACAAGAGGAGGGAGACTGGACCCCCGTCTCTGTTCAAAGCAGAATGACTAGCCTCCCTGTTGCCCCTGAAGTCCCCCTAAGCAATAGATACGAAGCTCTGGGGATAGAAGGAGAGAGTGTGGGTAATGGTTCAGACCCAGAATGCGACAACTGTGTTAAGTCAGTTCAATGAAAAACACAAATCAGAACCAGTGCCACAAAAAGAAAGTGAAGGGTCTTGGTAACTGGGGGCTCCTTGCTGAGAGGCACTGAGGCACCAGTTTGCCATCCAGATAATTACTCTAGAGAGGTTTGCTGCCTGCCAGGGGCCCACATTTGGGACATCAGGAAGAGGTTACCAGGTATGATGAAACCGGAAGACT